GAAAGCGTGTAGAATAAAAGAAAATTTTAACAAATATAACAAACATTGGCTTCAGACATCACTTTCTTTCCCATGCATTGGGTGAAATATGAAACGCAGCCGACCGGTTACCTCTTTTGAAAATTCCTCAGAAAATAGTAAACGTTCCAAGAATAAGCAGTTGCGGGAATCAACTTCAGCTTCAGAATTAGCTTATGCTACTTTTATGAGTCTACGAGCTAAAGGTCAAGTACAAGCCTCAAACATTTTGAAGTTTGATAAGCCCTGGCAGAAACTAATTCAACCATTAAATGCTTTTTGTGTGGTGCAACATCAAAAGATTTCAATAACTTGGATAAAATAGTTTTAAGACAGGTGAATACTGATAATTTGAGATTTGGTCTTTCTGTCCTTCGCGGTTGGATTCGATTCTTCGAATGTTTACTACATTTAGCATACAAACTCCCTATAAAAAATGGCAAGTCCGTGGAGAGAAGGATAAGCAAACTGTTTCAGAAAATAAAGCTCGAATTCAAAAAAAATTTAGAGAAAAGTGTGGCCTAATTATAGACAAACCCAAACCGGGTTTCGGCAGTAGCAGTGATGGAAACACCGCCAGACGTTTTTTCCAAAATCCAGACTTGTCAACACAAATAACTAATATAGACGTAGATTTAATAAAAAAAAAACACATTATTTAATTTATTATTTCAAGTGAATTTGATATAAGTAGATGCAGGAAAGTACAGGGTATTTGCACTTGATATTGTTAGATATTTCGTTTCTATATACCCGTGGTACAACATGCCACCTACTCTACATAAGTATTTCATTCATGTCCAGTCTTCATTCATTCATTTAACAGAAGAATCACAGGAGGCAAGAAACAAGGCCTTTAAGCGCTATAAAGAGCATAATTCGAGAAAATGTAGCAGAGAAAAATCTAATACGGATATTTTTAACTTTTTTTTTCTGAGCTTTGATCCCGTAATCACCAGTAAGCAAAAGTTAGTCAAAAATAAAGTGAAAATTATTCCTAAAGAAGCACTGTTCATGTTGAAAGCTCCATTTCTAAATAACTCAGATGAAAATACTACAGTCGATGACGATCGTAATGATGAAGATGATGATGCTTTTGTTTTTTTCTGTTATTACATATGTCTATGAGAACACTCGGTCCACTTTAGAACGTCTAACGGCTTTAGTATATTTGATGGCAGTTATAAGGGTCTCCTGCCCCAGTGTGCGTCGTACAAATTACGACGTTATTTATTTATTTATTTATTTATTACAACTATGGAGGATTTACAGCTATGATGATTACAATAAAAACAGTCAAGAAAACAGATAGCCAATAACAAATCCTTACTTATATAAATCAGAGATAAGTTACAGTGCATAAGACAATACAGAATAGGATCAAGAGGTATTATATAAGTTAAAGGCACAGATCACTTACAAATTACACAGAACGTAATAATACACACACAACAGACAGGACCCATAACAATAACTACTCAGACCCCCCACCATCACCCCTGAACAATTTAAGGCTTAAACACCTCCTCGCTCCCGTTACACTAACATTAAAAATATCAATTCCAAATTGTTCACACACATTATTGAGGCTTCTAGTTGAACGAATAACAAAAGAATTTTTTCTATAGTTCGTCAGTGCAAATGGTACACTCAGCGGTGGGTTATAGCGAGTTCTTGACGGAATATTAATATTTAACTTAGATAAAAGTTCGCAGCAGTCAATTTCGTTACTAAAAATTTTTAATAATAGGGTACAATCAGTGATTTCACGACGCGTTGTAAGGGGTAGTAAATGGTACTTCTTGCAAAGGTCAAAGTAAATTTCCGAGTGATAAGGTACTTTCTGGTGAAAGCACAAATATTTTATGAACCTTCTCTGGATATTCTCAATTCAGTCTACATATTTTTGGTAGCAAGGATTCCAAACTTCACATGCATACTCTAAATGGCTTCTAACAAAGGTGCAATACAGAATTTTTAAAGTTTTTGCCTGTTTGAAGCCCCTAGACAGTCGCATTATGAATCCTAATGCTTTAGAAGCTCTGGCAACGATTGCATCTATGTGTTCTTCATAGATCAGCTTCGAGTCATGCGTGACACCCAAGCAAAGACCCCTGAGGACAGCCGATGGAGATATTTATGCGTTATATGCTCGTAGCTTCCGACCCTCACATAACATTTTTAAGGAATCTCGGACAAAAAAAAGAGGAATCGTTAATAAGGACGTTTTATCTTTGTTAAAAACCTAATATGTATGATTTTTTTATCAATAAATAAATAGATAAATCATTATGTTTGCATTGTATTACTCCATTAACATTAATAAAAGCTACAATTAATAATTTAGCCGAATGAAATAGTTGTATATTTTTGTCCCCCTAAATTGGCCATATCCAATAGTGTGCGCCGCATGTACGGGGTGAGCTAGAAGATACCCATAACATTCTAGTCGTAAAAAGTATTCGCCGCAATAGATTTGAAGAGATATCGCGTTATTTCCATGGGGCCGATAATACTGAACTGCCTGCTGATTGATATGCTAAATTCCTACAGTATGCTCCTATCGAAAAACAAATAAGCATCGATGAATCCATGGTTCCGTATTACGGCAGGCATGGTTGCAAACAGCACATCAAAGGGAAGCCAATAAGGTTTGGGTTCAATGTGGATTGCTGCCACGAGATTGGGTTACAAACATTACGAAGCAGATCTCCTGAAGAAGACCTCCAATGTTGCTAGTCTGGCTGGTCTCGCAGAGGACTTCACTGCATTCAAAACTCTCGTCCTTGAGACCTTGAAGTCCTTCCAGAGTCAGATCGAGGTGATTGTAAATGAGGTAGATAATATGGACACACGCAGTTGCCGCAAAATACTTCTTGTTCATGGCGTCGAAGAGAAGAAGGATGAGAACACAACTCAGGTGGTGGCAGAGGTTGCAAAAAAATAAGTTGAATCTTGACTTCATCACCTCTGAAGACATAAGCCGCTGTCACAGGATGGGTCGACAATTTTCAAGTGAGAAACCAAGACCCATCCTAGTAAAATTTAGGACAGTAACGGTGCGAGACAGGGTCTGGGCAGCTAAGACCAAACTGAAAGGTACTGGTGTGACTCTCTCGGAGTCCTTGAAACGGTCGCGACACTCGGCTTTCATGGCGGCACGCGAAGCATTCGGGATCACGAAATGCTGGACTAAAGAAGGCTCTGTATTTGTTTTGGGTCCTGACGGCTCAGCTATCGTATTACAAGTGTGGCAGATCTCAATCAGATAAAGCCAGTAGTCACTGAAAAGCCAATTGCAATCAAGAACCCAACTTCGAAACCAAGAAGAGCAGCTGCCAATTCTAAAAGAACGGCTGTGTGTGGCTTGTTTGCATGTGTTGTTTCAATATAGCGCTCTGGTTAGATTTCACGTAAGATGCAGTTCAAACATACCCTCTTCACTATTATTACTGTATTGTGGATTTATAGCTTTCCTAACTCACTAAAACTCATTTAATTTTTACTTTATTTGTCAATTACAATTATTATTCTCTTTAACCTCCTTGATTATTGTATTTTTTATATCTGTCAATGTCAAAATTACGTTCCAGACCAGATACACGCTTTTGTTTCGCCTCTTCATAATAAATATTTTAGAGAATATGAGAACAACGACCCACTTTGTGTCAACTTCAAACCTACATGCCACCACGGATGTAAGAACCCGAAGTTCAAGTGTCGTTCAATTGCCATCGGAGATGTAATCAAAAACAGGTAACGCTTTTATGAAAAACGTACGAAAGTCGAACAAGACACATTTTTAGCAAGACTTCTATCTAGGCCCTACGGAACCAAAAAGAAGAGGTAAATCTCAAATCTCAAAAGAGATAAATCTCTTAATGAAAGTATTCAGTATTTCCCAAAAGCGGCTTCAAAATTTAAATAAAGTTTTGATACTAGGTGAAATTCCCAGAGAAAAACGTGGCGGTGACAGGTTGTTATTCTAATTTCGTTGGCGCCTGCAATGAGCTTTCGAAATTTCTTCGATCTAATTGTGATTCGTTGGCTGAACAATTAGTTAATGACGTGATTAACTTCTATTTTATTCCCGCGTACAGTCCATATTTAGGCGGACTCTGGGAAGCGGGTGTTAAACATCTTAGGCGAGTGTTGGGAAATTGTAACCAAACTTTTGAAGAGCTTAACACCACGCTTGTTCAGATTGAGGCGATATTAAATTCCCGTCCACTAACGCCACTTTCTTCAGACCCAGCTGACTGTACAACACTGACTCCAGGTCATTTTCTCGTTGGCCGACCCCTTACAGCACTTCCGCAGCAAGATTTAAGGGACTACAAAACAACTTCCTTGTCTCGTTTTCAAAGGATCCAGCAGCTTCGCCACCACTTTGGGCCTCGCTGGAGCAAGGAGTTTGTCTCAGAGCTGCAGCATGAACCCAAGTGGCATACCTGCAAGGACGAAATAAAGCTCATCAAACTCCTCTCAAATGGAGATTGGGAAGAGTTGTCGCAGTACATCCAGGTTCGGGTGGTATTGTTCGTGTGGCGGATATTTACACTTCCACTGGAGTGATTATGAGAGCCTTTAACAGGATCTGCCCGCTGTCCGTTGATGCTACTGTGGTTGAAAACCGATCTACTGCTTTCAAAGTCTTGGGCATGTTCGAGCACAGCGCTTGCTCGAATTTTATGGCAACGCACGAGGACATTATAGTGACGTTAATAATTACAAGGACCTTCTTTGTTAACTTTTTTCTACTGTCGGTTCTTGCGCTCCCCACGCCAGCGACGGAGTACGGGTCGCCGTTCTCCTCTGGGGATGACGGCTTCCTCTTCGGGGACGAAGAACTAGGCAAGGCGCGGCAGCTGCTCGCCAAGGCGGGCGCGGCGTGCCGGGGTATAGAGGCGGTCACGGGCGGGCAGGCGTCCCACCTCAACAAGGCAGACTTGGCGGCTATCAATGCCCAGCTACGGGTATTGATGATCGTTGGGCACTGCTGCATCACAGTGGAGAGTCAGAAGTCGGCGGCCAACGAAATGCAGCGCCAGCATAACATCTTAGAAGAGGCCCGTGCACGAGAAGCTGCAAGAGCCTCAAGAGCAGAGGCCGAAGCGGAACGGGCAAGATCGGAAGCGGCAGCAGCTGGAGCCGCGGGTGGCTCCGTCAATGAGGGCTGGCAGACCGTAAATTATGCGAGAGCGCTGAAACGGGCCCCTAAGACACCAAACCTGAACATTCCCCCCCCCCCCCCCCCACCCGCTGCAACTCTGGCAATATACCCGGCTGAAGGCAGCGAAATTAAATCTGCGGAGGAAACCAAACTGGCGCTGAAGAAATCGGTTGTTCCGCGCGAGCTGGGGGCCCAAATAGTGGGCCCAGTCGCCAACTCGGGGCTCATCTTAAAGACGGCGACGCAAGAGGCAGCGCAAAAGATAAAGGCGGCAATGCCGGCAACCCTGCAAGTCAGGGATGCCAAGTCTAGATCTCCCCTTGTCGCCTTAAGGAATTTGGAGGGCGACCCCCTATTTGAAGATGTACCAATACATCTTCAAATAGGGGGCCCACGGCCCACGACCAAAATATTAAGGACGACCCGACTTGGACTCTGGACAAACTAAGGAAGGAGGCCCGACTGGCTTTTCAGAAGTCAAGAAGAGGAGGGAACCGGACTACCGTGGTGCTGGCATGCTCTCCTGCACTACGGTCAGCTCTAGTGTCCAAAGAGCGGCTCTACATTGGCTGGGAGGTAGTCGTGGTAGGGTAGAGGATTACGCCGAAGTTACCTGCTGTCGAAAGTGCCAGCAATATGGCCATCCTGAGAAGCTATGCCGTGCGGATACTCCAACATGCAGCAAGTGTGGCAAAGAGGGCCACAAAAACGAGGACTGCAAGTCGCCAACATCCTGCTGTGCGACTTGCAACAAATTTGGTCACCAAGCGATACGCACACCACGGCATCGAGGGACTGCCCTGCTCGGCTGAACGCGGAACACAGACTGATCTCGACCACCAACTATGGATTGTAGATCCATAGTAAACATCACAATATTCGGCTAGTGGGTGGATCGGTGTGCTGCTGCGATCGTGTCTGCTCTGAGGCGAGTTTTAGGCGGCTACGGTGCTTCGCGAAAGGGTGACATGCAATTAAATAAGGAGCAAATTGGAGCGATAAAAGCGGCTATAGAGCGCGAATGACGAAGTCGCTGTTATGTGTTGTCAAGCCCCAGAAGGGGGAGAGTGTCCAAATGACATAGGGACGGATAAAGAGATAAATAATATGTAGGGAGTCAAGAAAGGACACGCGTGAAAGCCAGTAGCGCGTGTCCCTCCCGTGCTTCGGCCCGTTATAACCGAGAGGTTGGTAGGGCCATCGGAAGGTTGGAGGGTGTCGGTTAACTGAGACAATCTGTTCGACCATCGCTCAATACACAGCTTTTCTTCTGAAGTTTGTCTTAAAAAGACCACATTTTCCCAACAGAAGCCTTGAAAACATCTGTTATAAAGCCCATTCATAGGTAACTTTATAGGTATCTTGAGGTAAATAAACTTATCTGTGATGAACAAAAGGGCTTTATAAGGGAATATACGAATTTTTACATAGAACAATATTAAATATTGATAAAAGAAATCCTGTCTGTGGGGGTTTACTGCGATATGACGCAGGCATTCTATCATGTAGACCATTTATTTAAAAAAACGAACTTGAGCGTAACTATAGTATTAGAAGGAACATTTTAGATCTGCTAATATCTTATATACTCGTAAGCAATAGAAAACAATGTATTGCTATAACTGGAGTAAACCTTGTGCTAAAAAAAGAAGTTACCACTATCGCCAACGAGCGTATGTTCAAATATGGGGTCCCTCAAGGCAATGTATTAGGCCCTTTATTATTCATTGTAATTATCAATGATTTGCCAAAATCAGTTGACCAACAAATAACTCTCTTTGCAGATGACAGTACGCAGACAGTAGCATGTAAATTAATGAATACTTATAAAGATGACAATAATAAATCAATATCACAAACAATTTTCTTGATGAACAGCAATAATCTAAAAATTAATCTGAGTAAAACACAAATCATGCACTTTAAACAAAGGGCTACCACGTCTCAAAATAACCAGCGATGTATTAAATATAAAGACTACGAAGAAGATAAATGAAGTGGATAATGCCAAGTTTCTCGATGTAATTATAGATGGTAAACTTAATTCGAAAGTGCATATTAAACGTCTACCCAAAAAAATAAGCAGTCGATCCTCCTCAAAGAGCACACCTCTTTATAAACTTGCTCCAGCAGTCAATATAGATACATTACTTACTGCGTATCATGGTCTCATCGAGTCAATACTTAGATATGGCATAAAGTGATAGCCTTTAAATTTCAAAAACTATGTATAAGAGGGATGTTTGGACTACAAGTCACAGACAGTTGTAGGGCCTACTTTCAAAAACAAAATATAAATGTTACCATCACTATACATCTACGAAATTGCTGTATTTGGTAGGTTATGTATGATGCTTAACTGAATAGAAATATTATAAATTTATTGTGTATGAACTTTAAATTATATTATGCCAAAGGAGCCGAAACAAGAAGAAAATAAATTACACTGTACTATCCCAGAACCTGAAGGTTTTTTTTTTGGTTTTCAGATATGTGTTAATCGTTTATTAAATTGGGTGACTTACTGGGGACTAAAATTGTTATAGCCCTTTGTCAGTCCATACAAAAAAGGCAGTTACCATATTTTGTGATAACTTCTTGTCTTCACAAGAGTTATTTTATATTTTAAAAGAACATTACGGAGTATTTGGCTTAAGCACGATTCGTAATAATAGAACCAGGAGTGCTGAGTCTCATGAGGAGACCCGATGACTCCTCCAGGAGACTCTACTCGGGGGTTTTGGGGTCCATGGCCCTTTATGGGGCCCCAGTATGGGCGGGGGCCTGAAGGCCAGCAACGTCGCACTACTGCGACGACCGCAGCGAGTGCTGGCGATCAGGTTGTTAAGGGGGTACCGCACGATCTCCTTTGAGGCGGCGAGTCTTCTGGTGGGAACTCCACCGTGTTACCTGGAGGCGAGAGCCCTTGCGGTCCCCCTAGCAGAAGCAGGCCGGGATGGCGGCACTGCGGAGGGCGCGTGCCCTATCGGGAGCACAACAGAAACATGGGAGTTCCCACACAGGAGAGGGTCATCTACCCGTAATAATCGTGTTGAGTATATTCGATTGGTATTTGTATTATTTATAAGTTAGCTTAAAAAGTAGAAAAGTATGTATAGTGGTTATTTTTTTAAATTATATTATATACTAGAGGATACCAACATGTGACCTCCATTGTGTGACTATTTGAACGGTCACATATAAACGGAATGGAAAGTCACGTCATGACTGATCATATAAAGCGCTATCTACTGGGTCTACCAATAGGGATGACCTGGTTTTGACAGCTCATAGCGGCGATGTTTGATGATGGATCTTTGACGTCTCTTGACATTTGTGTTCAGTAAGGTTTGCCATTTTATCATGTCACGTTTCACTTTAAACCAAAGCTTGGAACTTCTTTGAAAGTGACGAAGGAAACCCTGTTACTCTATACTGCTATAACTCGTTGTTAATCGAATATTTCTTTGCGGAATTTGATGATATTGATGCAGACGACCTTTATTTTCAACAAGACGGTGCACCACCTCACATTACTCGAGTGAACATGGAATTATTGCGTGGAAAGTTTGGTGTGTCGTTAATTTCGAGAAATGGACCGATCAGTTGGCCACCAAGATCGTGTGATTTAACACCTTTAGACTATTTTCTTTGGGGTTACGTTAAATCTAAAGTGTACAGCCATAATCCGCTACAATTCGTGACTTAAAAACCAACATTCGACGAAGCCACAGCCGACATACCGGCCGAAATGTTGCAGCGCGTCATCGAAAATTGGCGTGAGCGGGTGACCGTCTGCAAAAAGAGCCGCAGCGGTCATTTGATCAATATATTATTTAAAACATAAATTGCATAAAATTATCTATCAAATAAATCAATCGGATGCATTTTTCATAAAAAAATTGTGTGTTTTATTCAATTTTTAAACCAGGACGTTCTTATTGGTAGACCCCATACATGGCACGACAGCCGTACTTAGCGAGATATGTAAGTATTATAGAGTACAAGATGCTTAATGATAAAACTTAAATACTTTTATCTCCATTAATTATTTATATTGATTTTTTAAAGGTTACAAGTATTATGTAGATAGCACAATACTAGCATTCTTGATAACCCCTCCAGCTAAACTAACTTTTTTGAATTTACGGCCGTAGTGTAGGTGGATTTGGAAACCAGAACCTCTTATGAGATCGTAAGACTTTTACCTTATCCATTAAGGTACGGCCGCTGTTTAGTTAGAGATGTATAATTTACTTTGTAATATTTATTTACAATATATATATATATATATTTTATTTTTTAATTTTCGTTTTATTGTTTGTATTACTTCTGTTATAAATTCTACAGACTGTGAATATTATTTTAAGATTAACTATTTTGTGGGCTTATTTAAATAATCATATTTTAGGCGTGGCAAGATGCCTCTTACAGGAGCTGAAAAAACTAGGCGCTGTAGAGAGAAATTAAAATTAACGCGCCCGGAAGAATATAAAGCTCAATGCAATAGAAATTTACCACGAATGAATACTAAGAAAAAGAAAATATCAGAGATGACTGCCAAAAATGCCGAAGATGATGATGAAAGAAGAAGCATTAAAAAGAAAATAGAAAAAAAAAAGAAACGAAAAATGTGAATGATTCTCCTACAAACTCTTCAAATGATGCGACTATAACAACATTAAGGAAAAAAAATAAACTATTATTTAAAAAATGCAGAAATTTGACCACGCAAGTCCAAATAGTTAAAACGCAGAAAGAAACGTTCAAAAAACGGTTTCAACGTCTTAAACAACGTCCTACGAAAAGAATATCGGATTTAGAAGAAGACATATTGAAAATGAAAGCAAGAGAAGAAGTACTTGCTTATACTTTGAAAATAACATATCAAAATATAAGAAAGAGTAAGTTTAAATGCAATAACAGACAATTTATATTATAAGATATAGGATTCCTAGACCAAATTTTGGAAAAGGACAAACAAAATCAAACTAAAGACAGGATATTGTGGGCATGTGGATTAATAAACAAAGCGAAAAGAGAATCAATACAAATATTACGTGAAAGTACAATAGCTAATGTGCGTTCAATAGAAAGAAATTCAAGATCAGTGAAAGACCCAAATCCCCTGATGAGCACAATGACAAACATTAATATAAAATTCCCGATAACATTTAAAACAAACAAAATAAATACTGGAATAATCCCCCCCGAATTGTTTTCAGGTGTATGTGACAATAGGAGGAGTGGCAGAACACTCTGTAAAACTGAAATGGTTCATTGGTATATAGATAATGTGGAAGAAAATGAGGAAAAGGCTGCGTCTATAACAAAGCTCTTTGATGCAAGCATTTCAAAATATAAGAAGGTTTTTCATTATCCATGGGAAAGCGTTAGGTTCAAGACAGGTAATGTTTCACTATCAAGATCTTTGGTCCCTGTCAACCCAAATAATATTGTCTATTTACCTAAAGAATTTATAAAACCATCAATTCTTCAAACTCTCAATTTGGACAACATGATTGAATATGTGGATGTTCCTGACTATTATCTTGACCAAGTTGACATAAGAAGTTTGCCTAACATATTAAATTATATAGTGAGTCAGATGGATAAGAGATTTCGCTATTTACCAATATTAAAAGGATTGAGTCCTGATTTTATATACATTTCCCATGCACTATTACAACCTCAATACAGAGCAGTATCATTAATGGCAGACTCATCAATTGATAAAGGCCAGAACAAAAGTATTACTGAACTATGCATAAACATGTTGTATTTTTGTAGAGTCAATAGTTACTCTCAACAAGGAAACTTGCTGCGAACTTTGAACCGAACTGTAAATTGTGATAGCGTCGAGAAACAAGCTCCGCAATACTTTATTTTGATACGATCCCATCTGAAAGAACACATATTGCACATACAGTGGGTATGTGCAACGCGACAGTGGTAAGTAATCAGCAAGGGCAAAACTCTTCGGAGTGTTTTTATATTAACTATCCCCGCCCGCACTAGGTAGTGTGGCTCATGTCCCATCTCGGGACTCCGTACAGTAGGAAGAAAGGAGTTTTGACAAGGGCAAGAGCTAGACGGGAGCAGGAGGAGGAGGTGTGGAAGCCGCGCCCGAGTATGGGTATGGTGGAGCAGGAGGAGGGGGAAAGGGGGGAGAGACAGGTCACCTCTGAGCAACAGAGGGGACGTGATGCCGATGACCAATACCACTCAGTCCGCAGTGGTAGTAGTGACTCAAGCCCCAACAGGCATGCCTCACAGGAGTCTGTTGTTGCCAATCGTAATAAGGCTGTGCATGCCGAGAGGGCAAGGAGAAGGGCAGAGTTGGTGGCTAAGAAAAGGGGCGTAGCACCAGCTAAACCGGAGGCGCGCAAGGAGCTGCTGCGCAAGTATATGCCCGAGCTGGCGGTGAAGATACCCAAGATGGCGCACGAAATAACACAAGCGCACCTGCTCTCCAGCACATCGTCAGAGGAGTCGTGTGGTGAGACAACCCCACCCATCACTGAACCGGTAGAGCCTTCAGCACTTGCGCCTGCACCACCGCCACCGAGCAAGGATAGTATTCCATTTTATCAAATAAAAGATTTTGTTTCATCCTGTGTCAAAGATCTTGCATTCTACAGATGAAAACAAATTTACGCGTTTTGTCAAAGGGTGCGTGGTATTGGAGATAATACCTGTAATAGAGAAACCATCTATTAAATTTTACCCAAAACAAATCAAGATCTTTGAAACAATTCACGTGAACAAAGTTGGAGTTGAATTTAGGAGATACAACGGCGAAGAGATGGTATTCTTTGAAAGTAACACTTCAAAGTACTCAGTATTTCACGAAAGCGGCTTCAAAATTTAAATAAAGTTTTGATACTAGGGAAATTCCCAGAGAAAACCGTGGCGGTGACAGGTTGTTATTCTAATTTTGTTGGCGCCTGCAATGAGCTTTCGAAATTTCTTCGATCTGATTGTGATGCGTTGGCTGAACAATTAGTTAATGACGTGATTAACTTCTATTTTATCCCCGCGTACAGTCCACATTTAGGCGGACTCTGGGAAGCGGGAAACCGAGCGCTGGGCACGCCATTATCGCGGCGGTTTATGGAGGATTGGCTCGAGAGGCATCACGGGACCCTCTCATACCGGTTGACGCAGGTGATCACTGGAAAAGGATGCTTCGGGGATCACCCTGTGTCTGATCTGCAAGGAGCCAACGCCCTGGTGCCACGGAATGCCCGGCGTGGGTGGAGCAGAGGTGTAACCACGTGGCAGCCATCGGGGTGAGAGTTCTCTCGCTCGGTAACATGGTTCCGGCCATGGTGCGGAGTGACAGGTGAGGCTATCTGTTGCCCTAGCAGAAGCAGGCCGGGATAGCGGCGAGATGCGCTGCGGAGCGCGCGTGCCCTATCGAGCGCACAAGGGGAACATGGGGGTTCCCACACAGGAGAGGGTCAACTACCCGCCGTAGATGGCTCGAGGTACGTCGGGGTACCTTTCTAGGGTACACTAGGCTACTGCTGGTACCTGTGGTTTTAAGTCGGTTCGAGTCCGACATAGCCACCGGTGGGTAGTATCCGAGGGGATTTCCGCAAAGACAAAAAAAAGGGTTGCTGGGTCTATTTTGCAAAACAAAGAGATAAGTTTTTCGCAGGTTGTATGTGACAAAACGAGGTTGTCCGTCGTACGCTGGAATGACAAGTCTGTTACTATAAGTTCTTTTATTGAGTACACATCTGTGCATAAAATAAAAAGATACTGTAAAGTTAAAAGCGAAAGGTAGATGTTGATTGTCCACAAATAGTTCAAGAGTACAATAAACATATGGGAGGTGTAGATCTGGGTGACGTGTTAAAATCATTGTATAAAATCCCTTTCAAATCTAAAATTTGGTAAATAGGTATATTTTGCCAGTTGTTAGATATAAGTATAAATAACGCTTGGATTTCATATAAAACAAATACAAAATATTTTGACATGAGCTTTATCTCAGTTTGACTAAAAAGAATAGACCTGTAAATATAGAGATCATCATCATCATCATCAACAGCCTATAATAGTCCACTGCTGGACATAGGCCTCTCCTTAGAAAGGAGGTTTTGGCCTACTATACCACGCTGGCTAGACGGGTTGGTATAGGGTTTGTTTCAAGTTTTCCTTCTTTTTGGCAGTTTGTTCCCTTAGTCGGCTCTTACGACACCTACGGGATGAATAGGGGTGGTGACATTCCGTATTCCGATCACCACACGGACGTCGTTTTTATGACATAATTCCTCATTACGAGATGAACAATTTTAATGTAAATCGCGGAGCACCGCGTGGCAGAATTCCGGCAGTAACCGCCGAGGAGCGCGCGAAGCCCAACGTTGCTCGGTTATTACTATTTATTGTAATATGGTGGTGTTTAGGTGATAATTTTGGTTTAGTTTAAAGCGCCATCTGGTGGTTTGACTGCCTCTGTGGCCGAATGGTTGTACACCGGTTTCAAGGTGTCGCTTTTCTACATTATCTCTGGTCTGGGTGTTTGTGGTACCTTCGTTGTTTCTGCTTTAGCTGCTTACTTTGGGATCAGAGCAATGTATGTTATGTTATCCACATTAATTGGTTTGTTTTTTGATATTCATAATCTCAACCTTACAGCACTTGTCACAGAGTAACGCCATCTATTGTCAATTTCTCTTATTACAGCTTGTGAGCTATGGTTCAGTTTAGGTTAATACGCATTGCGCGAGGCGTAGTAGTTAGTTTTTATGGCATTATCCGAGAGATGGCCTCACAAAAACTACCCGAGAAACTGTGTTTAAAATTTGTATCGGTTATTAAAAATTTTTCGTTTTGCACTATTGCTTCATAAGTCTCAATAAAATAAAAACTCGAAAGCATAAATCTTATTCACGTAATCGGTATAGGTAAATGTTAGACATATTTATGAGAAACATATATTGTTATCTCAAACATTAAATTTTTCATTAAATAAAAATTAAAAAATTATATATAAACTTGAACATATAAAAAAAAACAAAGATAAGTCACCGAGCGGGCATCGCACCCGGAACGCTCGTTTCTTGCCGTCCGCGTCTTAACCCGCTGAACCAGACGGACAGTGGCCGGCAGGACGAAATTAGCGACCATATTCTGCGTGGAAAGAAAAACACATGAAAACTCGAAAACACGCGTTTCCCAAAACATAAGACTAATCTAGATCGATTGTTTACCCCCGAAAACCCCCATATACCAAATTTCAGGTAAATCGTTAGAGATCACAGAAATAAATTTATAAAATTTATAAATTATAAAAAATTCTCGTTAAGGTATAAGATTTATCTACAAGTGTAGTACAAGAAAGTTTGTACCATTTATTTTATAGTGAAATATCGATACCTCTGGGCTCAAAGGGCGTAAAGCACATTTTGGGGCATATGGAGTTAATAATACCATCGTATTCAGTTTTTCATTCTCTATCGATTGGTATATACGAAGTTGCCAAATTCGCACAAAAATGGTCTTTACGCCCCATCTTTTTTGGGCTGCTAAACCAAAATGAAACGCCTGAGTGCCACCACTGCGATGGCCAGACCGTGGACACGGCTCTCCACACGCTGGCAGAGTGCCCGGCGTGGGTTGAGCAGAGACCTCGTGGCGGCCATCGGAGTGGGAGTTCTCTCGCTCGATAGCCTGATTGCGGCTATCGTGCGGAGCGAGAGTGCGTGGAACTCTGGAACGGGCCAGGTACCGCAGGCGACTCAGGCGCCGGAGGTCGCAGAACGACCTCCGTCCTCCATAAGCGCAGGCCTGGGGGTGACAGGTGAGGCCATCTGTCACCCTAGCAGAAGCAGGCCGGGGCGGCGGCGAGCGCGTTGCGAAGCGCGCTCGCTTCCAGGGAGCAGAGGGAACATGGGGTTCCCACACGTGGGGGAGGGGGCGGGGGTAGTCTACCTGTTATTGTAGATGGCCCGAGGTATGTCGGGACACCAGGGACTTCCTTTCTAGGGTATACCTGGTTCCCCGGCTATTAGTACCCGAGACGGCGTGCGGTTTTAGTCGGTTCGAGTCCGACATGCCACCGATAGGTGGTATCCGAGGGGATTTCCGCACGGAGAAAAAAAAAGGGTGTAAAGCATATTGTATTTGACAACTGTTCTACACGCCCTAAATATTAAAAAGATAACAATTTAAATGTACCTTGCTACCTAAAAAAATAATAAAACTTGAAGCAATAGTTAAATATCACAAACAATAATTTTCAAAGGTGAGTGATTCATCATCTGCCTACCCTTTTCCCAATTTTATTTGGGGTCGGCGCAGTATGTATGATTTTTCCATTCTACTCTGTAATGCGTCATCTCACTGTTTACTCCCTTTCTAGCCATATCCTCCCTCACGCAGTCCATCCACCTTTTCTTCGGTCTGCCTCTTCTCTTGTACCCTTCAACTTTCTTCGCCACATTTTCCTCATCCCTTAATGTTAATTAAACATTTAGTATTCAATCGTATTATTATTATTTTATGTCTTTGTTTTTAGTATTAAAATAATAATAAAAAACTACTAATTTCGATTTAATTTCTTCGAATTCGTGTTCGAATTAATAATAATTTAATGAATATCAGTTTTACGAGTAGGTATCCAGTGTGTTTAAGCGTTTCAGACTGTGGTTTACGATCTTACTATAGTAAATAATCTTACGTTATTGTCCTTTACCATTTAATATTTTTAGTTTGCTCATACAGTTTCAGTTTACAAGTAATAGTTTTAATAATTATTATTCAGGTAAGATAATATTTAACCTCCGACAAAAAAAGACGTGTTAGGTACCTATGTGTTTTACGTGTGTATGTGTACTACCTATTTACTTATCAGTCTGTGCCATCACAGTTTTTGAACAGATGAATCGATTTTGGTTTAGTTTTTTTATTTGTTTGTAAACACCTGTTCAAGAGAGTTTTATCTATGTTTGAAGAAAATCAGTGGAGCCGTTTAAAATTATGAGGGCGGAGGGGTGAAGGTGGGGATGATCAACCCAAAAAAGGAAATATACTCGAGTGGGGTATCAAATGAAAGACCGGAAGGTAACTTGAATTTCAATCGAATATTATTTTGAATCGTTTTTGTACTTATTTCCATTTCAGAACACACACAATATCTCTTCAAGAATTGGAAGATAATAAATATAAAAGCTCAGATCGACAATCAACGGAACCAATTGCTTCCGGTATGTTAAATGATGTTAGTAATCCTCTCGATCTAAAAAATCTAAGTAAAAATAGCGATATTATTGAAGATAGTGAAGAAGAAAATTTTATGAAATTGCATATGACGCCGTAATGATGCCTTTAACTCCTGAAACTTACAAAACAAACTTGAATAATTCGGCTATTAATACTTGCCTAAATCAAACTGAAATTCAAAATGAAACTAAAGGCAAAAAACGGCGTAAAACTGGAGTAAAATCTTATATGGATTTCCTCTCAGATGAGGACAAGTTAGATTATTCTTCAGGAAGCTCCAACAATTGGTCTAGAAAAGAATCAGAAAGTAGTAGTGAAGAAGAAATGGATATAAGGAAGAGAAAAGTTAAGAAAAACTCTCATGTAGAAATTAAAAAGAAAGAAAAGCCAGGAAATAAACGTTAGATCATCAAGAAATTAAAGGTAGACGGAAAGTCTTACGAAAACAGGAGTGGGAAAATCGTTCCCGAAAAAGAAATTAAAAATAATCCATGTATAAAGGCCAAATGCAGCAGAGCATGCTATGATATACCAGAAGAGAGACGTCGGTCGTTATTTGCACACTTTTGGAGTTTAGATTCTCAACAGAGGCGCGATTGGTTAGTACGATGTTGTCACATAGTTCCAATAAAAATAAGGAAGAAAACCGATAGCTTCCTTGCGAAGAAATGCATCTTACGAATATTACATGAACAATGGCTAATATCATCAAAAAGTTTGTCAAATTTTTTTGTTAGATACCTTAAATATTACTCAAAAATACTTGACTTATACAATGTCACAAAAATATACTGATGCTGCTAAGCTTAAAGTGAAGAATTTCATTGAATCGCTACCTGCAGTGCCATCCCATTACAATAGATAAAGAACAAACAGAGTGTATCTACCTCAAGAATTAAAGAACGTGTCTAATTTATATCAGATATATAAAAAAAAGCATATACAGTGACCAAGACACTGTTAGTGAAAATATGCTTAAAAACCATTTTAAAGAATATAATATTAGTTTCCACATTCCCAAAAAAGACAAATGTGTAACATGCACAAGAGCGGAACATAATATGGATACAATGAGTGAGAAATATAAAGAATAATTTGACAATCACATAAAAGTAAAAAAAACAAGTTATAAAAGATTTGAAAAACATCAAAATTTGAAGTCTTTTGATAATGGAACTATTACATGTAGTTTTGATTTGCAAAAGATTTTAGGCACGCCGCACGGTCAAGGTATGTTACTATACTATTCACGAAAATATGCGGTGTATAATTTAACATTTTACGAAAGCGGCACACAGGAAGTTTATTGCTATAACTGGCGAGAGAGCGACGGTAAACGAGGAAGCAATGAAATTGCCTCTTGTCTTTTAAAGTACTTAGAAGAGAAAGATAGAATTGGCATAAAAAACATTATTTTATACTGTGACTCCTGTAGCGGCCAAAATAAAAATAAAACGGTATTGTCCACTAATTTCTAAAGTCGGCAATTAATATAGAAGTAATACAAATAAATTATCTTTTGCCTGGTCATACATATATGCCCGTTGACTCTGTCCACGCGACGATTGAAAGAGAAGTGCAAAAATTAATTGTATGGAGTCCGCCGCAATGGCCGACATACTTTGAGACCGCTCGGAAAAAACCTTAGCCATACAAAGTCATTGTTATGGACTACACCGATTTTCTGCATTTTGATCAATTAACTGCCAATACTTTCACACCAAACACATTGAAAAATATAAAACTAAAACAGATTAGAATTGCTACATTTAAAAATAAATACGAAAACCAAATAAATGTCAAATATTCCATGGCAGCAGAAGCTGAAACTCAAAATATAACGTTAATGGAAATCCCATCGGTCAAAGGAAAAGGCAAAGGAAAAGGTAAAGCAAAGGACAAGTCAAGCGAAAACAAAAAGCAGGAAGCGGAAGAAGTTAAGCCATTATATACAACTAAATTAAACATTAACAAACAAAAATACATGGTTTTGACACGTCTCTGTGACAACGGAACTAAGAAAACTAACTAACTTTACTTTTTCCTAAGAGATTTCATGAAGAATATAGAAAGCTTCCATGGAGCTCTTATGTTTGAGATACATTAAATGAAACTGATGAAGAAGATAAAGAAGATGAAAATAATACTGAAAAAGAAAATAATACTGAAAAAGAAAATAATTCTAAAGATGAATAACTCAAAAATTGCTTAAAACTTTCTTGTTTGCCCTTTTATTACGTATAATAAAAACTATTAACAATAACTTCAATTATTTAATTTTTAAAAAGTTTTTTGTTTATTCCCATAATCTCTATTGGGATGGGGATTATGGGAATAATCCATCAAGACGGGATGGGGTAACCCCCACCCCGTTTAACCCTTTTTATTATGAAAATTATACAATTTTAAATGCAAACTTTGTGATTTACAACACAATTAAACATTGCTATTATCATTTACTACATAATATTTTACAACTTTTTTACGCTAGGTTATATTTACTGCCCAAGTTAATACCGTTAGCTGTTTTTAAATGGGTTTAAAGGACATTTTGTAGTATTTTTTAGGTAGTAAAGCAAAACTATTTTCTAAACTATTATATTTAGACTTAATTTACTAATATTTACTTAAAATTTAGTAAAATGTAAGTATTTTTCTCATAGATTGTTTTTATATAATCATTGAGACAAAAAAGTTATGGCTAATTTTGTTTTATTTTTAGGTTTTTTGGCTCTCCTGAACAGTAGCTGTTTTGTGCTATACGCCCTTTGAGCCCAGAGGTATCGTTATTTTTGACGGACATTACTATAATTGGTGAGGAATATACGACGATATAAATTCAGTATGTAGCTATAAACTGAACTAACTAATTGTATTTAATAAACTGAACTGAAAATGTATTTATAATAAACTAGCGTTTGCCCGCGGTTCCAACCGCGTGAATTTCGGTCATATCGCGAATTTCATTTTTGGGACGCCTATGCCGTTTGCCAAGATCCAAAATTCATCATAATCAGTTTGGTAGTTTAGGTGTTAAAAGGTAATAGACAAACAGAGTTACTTTCGCAATTATAATATTAGTAGTGATTTATAAATATAATTCTTTGTATGTATGTATGCTAATAAAAGCTTAAATTAATAATACAAGTAAGTATGATTTAATAAGTTGGCAAAACATTTATTTATTTATTGCTTAAGTGTTAGCCCTAGCAAATTTCCCTATTAACCCTATTCTCATCCCTATTCACCTCAAATTCAAGGTGAATAGGGATATCACCTATTTCTGCTTTTTTTGTTTAAATCTTAATGGTAATTGCATATTCATATTTTTTATAACAAACATGCTCCCAAGACTCATTCATTTATGTCCTGAAATAGATTCGTGTCTTAGGAAAATAACCATAAAACTCTTAATGAAGGTGACTTTTGTCCCTAATCACCCCATTTTACGGTAAGTCACCGAGCGGGAATCGCACCCGGAACGCTCGTTTCTTGCCGTCCGCGTCTTAACCCACTGGACCAGACGGACAGTGGCCGGCAGGACGAAATTAGCGACTATATTCTGCGTTGAAAGAAAAACACATGAAAACTCGAAAACACGCGTTTTCCCAAAACATAAGACTAATCTAAATCGATTGTTTACCCCCGAAAACTTCCATATACCAAATTTCAGCGAAATCGTTAGAGCCGTTTCCGAGATCACAGAAATAAATTTATATACATATAAATAAATATACAAAAATTTCTCGTTAAGGTATAAGATAAGACTAAAGGTATAAGATTTATCTACAAGTGTAGTACAAGAATGTTTGTACCATTTATTTTATAGTGAAATATGTATGTTTTGAATTGAATTTACTTTATAGCGGTTCGTTTATATTTTTAATATATTATGTTTTTTGTTTGTTTTTAGATAAAATCGTTACGCCTCTTCAAGAAGCGAAGAAACAGCTTTCGTTAGAGGAAGTAATAAAAAAAGAAAAGAAATGGGCAATGTCAATAACGTAAACTCGAAAAAAAATGATAATTTAATCGGAAAAATGATTGCGCTTCAAAATTTACCTTTTAATTTTGTGGAAGGACTTGGTTTTCGCTGACTGATACAAGAAATAGCACCGTGATTCAATTTTAGAGGGCGCAACTTTTTCCCTGAATTTGTGTGCAAGGAGCTGTATGGCAAAATTGCTATCAAAGTTAAAGAATTGATTAAAAATTTTGATCACATGTCATTTACTTCTGACATTTGGTCAGATCCAAGCTCTAATGCCTCTTTGCTTATTCTTCTTTGCTTTGTCATCAATTGTTTTAAAATGTGAGACTTTTGACGACCGCCACACAGGTGGCATAATAGCTGAAAATTTTGAAACGATGCTTACGGAATGGAATATCTCAAATGACCAAGTGCATTGCATGATTCGAGACGAAGGCTCCAATATGAAAAGAGCGATGCGATTGGCAAAATTCCAAGACTTGGATTGTGCAGTTAAGATGCAACTTGCTATTCTTGCTTGCTATTGCTTTAAGTTGTTTAAACTCACAAGAAAATATGAAGGGTATCATACAAAAATGTAAAATAATATCGATGCATTTTCACCATTCTACTATAACCCAAAAACAACTACACAAAATCCAGGACAGGCTCAACCAACCACATCTCAAAGTTTTTCAAGATTGTGTTACGCGATGGAATAGTACTTTTTATATGTTAGAGCGTTTTTTGATAGCAAAAGATGGCTTAAGCCTTTACATAAATGACAGCGAGATTGACCCTATTTTACCAGAAGAGTGGAAAATCATAGAATGTTGTGTTGAGCTGTTGAAACCGTTCGAAGAAGCCACACGTGAACTTAGCAGCTCTCAGACTCTTATTTCATCAGTGATTTCAATAATTCGAATGCTGACGCAAAAAGTTAATGACTATTTGACAGCTTCACCGGAATCTCGAATTCACCATGCAGCCACAACTTTAAAAGCTGAAAAGAGGCTGACCGATTTGGGCCAAGGTGCGGACAGCAGTTTTATAAATAAATGAAAATGGTCATAATTTTCTTTATACTACCAATTTGTACTCATAATTAATTTATAATAATAAATTAATTATGAGTACAATTTGGTAGTATCAAGTGAACATATATAAAAAAGGTATTTCAAAATATTTATCATTATTTATGACGTACATCCATTCATTTTGTGAGCAAAACGTGTCGAAGTGTTGCATACAAAAAATAAGTAGTGGAAAAAGTGATTCAAAAAAACACACTAATAAATAATAGTCTCACTTAAAAAGTACTTTAAAGGCTGTAATACCTACAATATATAATTATTTCTATTTTCTATATATATATATATATATATATATATATATATCTCCTTTTAAGACAAAATATATGTCTCAAAATAAATTGTGATGAAGAATATTAAACAGCACATGGGTATATTTTTTTTTACTCTAACAACATTTGACTAATGTCATGTCTGGCATTGGCTTAGGCGCGCACGGTATTACTATTTGCTATTTGTTTATTTTTGGATATTCTATTCAAAATGGATTTTAATAATTCATCTCACGACAACCCCGACTTACTTTTGGACCCTGTACCCTCTTCAAACGTTGACCCTGGCAATTCATTGGATGTTGAACCTGATTTGCATGACGACTTATGCCTGAACATGGATTTTCTGAATATGCCTAATAATGATGAATCCATACGTTGTATCAATTGTGCTTCTGATGTGACTCACAGAAGGAGACATACTCTTAACTTAGTTGAAGTGCGACATGTCATTCTTCAATGGATTGCACCGCAAGTACGAGGGTGCGTTTTTAAGTTCGCGGAATGAGAGGGTTGGAGGGGGATGATTAGGCTCATTAGAATCGTCACGTGTTCAGTGACTCATAATTAGTATAAATACCAGGTTTCATTGTTATTAGACAATTAGTCTTTGAGTTATCTTCAACCAAGCAACATAATCGGGAGTGAAAAGTGAAACATGGAAAAAATCGAATATCGTGCCGTTATAAAGTTCCTTACCAAGCAAGGAAAATCAGTTGCGACCATAATGAATGAGATGTCATTGGTTTACGGCGACTCTTGTCCAGGAAAAACCATGGTGTACAAATGGCACAGTTTATTTAAACAAGGAAGGGAATCCCTTGAAGACAACCCGAGGCCGGGCAGGAGCATCGAGGTGATCACGCCAGAACTTATCCAAAAAGTCGAAAAAATTGTACTCGACGATGCTCGACTAAAGAAGAAACAACTCGCAGAAATGGTTGGAGTATCTGATACAACCATTTTTAGAACTCTGCACGATCATTTTGGCATGACAAAGGTCAGTGCAAGATGGGTGCCGAGAATGCTCACGCCGACGCAAAAACAACAGCGCGTAGAGTGTCCACGTGCATTTTGCATTAGACCTTTGTAATGAAGACAAGGATGCTGTATTGAGTAGAATTGTTACTGGAGACGAAACTTGGGTTCATCATTATGAACCTGAGTCGAAACAAGACTCCATGCAGTGGCATAAAAAGGGCACAGCAACTCCCAAGAAGTTTAAGGTGTCACAGTCAGTTGGGAAACTCATGGCAACGGTCTTTTGGGACTCAGAAGGAATATTATTGATCTATTATAAAGATAAAGGTGTTTCTATAACCGGAGAATACTACGCTTCAATATTAGAGCGACTCAAAGAAGCCATTAAAGAGAAAAGACGGGGAAAATTTACAAAAGGTGTGTTGCTTTTGCACGACAACGCGCCCGTCCAGAAGAGCCGCGTTACGTTGGCTGCCCTGCATAAGGTGCCCTTCGATATTTTGAATCACCCACCCTACAGCCCAGACCTGGCCCTCAGCGATTATTACCTGTTTCCAAAAATGAAAAAAGAGCGGCGGGGTAAAATATTTACCAACGATGATGAAGTCAAGGAGGCAGTTTCGGCGTATTTTGAAGACAAAGAGAAAACATTTTTTTATGAGGGTATAAACAAATTAATTGAAAGATCTGAAAAAAGTATCCGTCTTGCAGGTGAATATATTGAAAAGGAAAAATAATTTGGTTTTTTTATTTCCACCACTTATCCCCCATTCCGCGAACATAAAAACGCTCCCTCGTAGTAAGTATTTTTTATGTTTCAACTTAAATGGGTAGTGAATGCAAATGCACTAAATACTATTTCGAATGCATAATATATCTAATGAACAAAAAGTAATAAATGCTGACTTTTATTTTTTATTTGTCAACAGATTGAAGGTCACAGTCAAATATGTCATTCATGTTGGACTGTGGCATTGAACACTCCTAATGTCTCAATCCCAAATGAAGAAGCCTCATCAAGTTCTGACTCAGGGCGTCAGAGACAACTATGTGTAAGCTGCAAATCGTCGCTTATGAGACATAGGTCTCATAACCTTAACATTGACTCGGAGCGGGAGAGACGATAAGAAATGTTATTGTACATTGGATTGATCCACTCGAGGTAAGTTTTCTTATTTCTCATAACATAATTATGTTTAAAATGGTAGTTTAGTAATAAATGACACTTACAGTGTAACATAATTATACTACTTCTTGCAATACAGTAGCCTGCAGTAGTTTTCTTTAAAAGTAAAGTTCTGTGAACCTATGAACTCCCCATAATACTGTGAGATATGTGCAAATAGCTAGTGTTATTTATCTAGTTCAATTAAAATGAGTACCTATACAAAAATAAGACAAGTTGACAGTTGTAGTAAGGATTATATTGCATTCTATAAGTTGAGAAAAAAATCCAATACCATTTTATTTTTGTTTTATTTGAGAGCATCTGACAGAATTTGTCACCCTTGTTGGCAAAGAGCTAATAGGCAAGTTACTCGAAATGTGGAGAGAGTTAGTGAAGGTGAAGGTGAAATACAGAATCCTGAAGGAACCATCCATTTACCGGATTTGAGAAGAGCGGCTGATACCCAATCACAATGTTTTTTCCCTGGCTGTAACTCTGAAGAGAGATTGAGGATTCCCAAGTGGCTGGAGTACATATATTTACAGAGTATAATTATTATATACCACAGCAATGTCGAATTTGCCAATTCCATCTACGAAATGACAATTTGCATATAATTGAAGATGATAGTCAGTCCCTTCATTATTTTACCGCTAGTCACATACAAGACTTTGCTTCCTTTGTCAAAGAAAGGAAATTACATTTAGATTTTAGTAAAATGGAGCAAATGACTGATGACATAATTTATTATTGGACTGGAGTAACTAAGGACCAGTTTATGCAAATAAAAGCAGATGTACCTAATATAAACAGGGTGCCAAATAGCACTTTAGCTCTTGCAGCATTTCTCATTAAAATAAGAACTGGTGACTCTAACGAGCGACTTTCTATGTTGTTAAGTGTACCTCGGACCACTTTGGGTACCTACATAAATAGAGTGCGTGAAGTACTACTCTGTGACTTTGTGCCTAGGAATCTAGGAATCAATCACATAACTCGTGACCAAATATCAGAGAGAAATTTGATTATACCCAATGGGCTCTTTGGAGGTGAAGAAAGGAAACCCATAATTATAATGGACGGTACCTATTTATACATACAGAAGAGTTCCAACTATAAGTACCAGAAAGATACTTATTCTTTACACAAGTACAGAAACCTGATGAAGCCGTTTTTGATGGTATGTTCAGATGGTTATATTATAGACGTATTAGGTCCATATCCAGCAACAACATCGGATGCAAATATATTGTCTAATGAATCTAAAAATAATACTACTGCTTTAAGAAGGTATTTTTAACCTGGCGATGTTTTTATTCTGGATAGGGGTTTCAGAGATTGTGTTTCCTTATTAGAAGACTGTCAATACAGTGTACATGTGCCGCTGTGTCTGCAACAAGGTCAAACACAGTTATCGACAGCAGCAGCAAATAAATCACGCAGTGGCTATTTGCAGATGGGTGGTTGAAGCAGTGAATGGGATTTTCAAAATGTCATATAAATTATTTCGAAGTGAATTTTTTTTTTTTTGGCCAGCGTGGTATAGTAGGCCAAAACCTCCTTTCTAAGGAGAGGCCTATGTCCAGCAGTGGACTAGTATAGGCTGTTGATGATGATGATGATGATGATGAATTTTTTAACACTGCTTCAACACATGCAATATCAGATTTCAGAATAGCTGCTGCCTTGATAAATTGGTTCCACACTAGAATATCAGATAGACCTGATGCTGGCTTGATACTCAACAGAATTCTAGAAAAAATAAATATGGAGAATATGGTGGCGAATTATGTCATATTAAATAATTTAAATAGGAGACGGACACAATTCTCTGACATTCATGTCAGTATTGATAATCTGATGTTTCCAAGATTAGAATATAATGAACTTGTTTTGTTAGCATGTGGAACATATCAAATAAAACAGGCTAGATCATATTTTGGAGAACACATAAGAAGTGATGGTTCATATAACAGTCGAAGTTTGTATAGAAAGTGCCAGCAACCTTTTGCCAAGTCTTCCTTCAGCCGACAATTGCACATTATTAAGGGCCAAAATACAAAGCAGACACATAAGTAGGAAAACATATTTTATTTATATATTATTTGACAGTAATATAGAGAATTTAAATGCAATTAAAGAGTATTACTGTAACTGCAATGCTGGTCAAAGAACTGTGGGTTGTTGCTCTCACATTATGTCCGTAATCTGGTATCTAAGTTGGGCAAGGTATGAGAATGTTACTCCTCCAGCTCAGTTTCTGGATGATATTTTGATTGTGTATGAAAGTGATGGTGACGACAATTGAAATTAAATGTTAGCAAAAATCAAAGTATTTTTTTTCTATGGGCCTGGATACTAAATTAATTATATTATTGGTTTCTACATAGCTTTAGCTACTACCTAGTAACGTTTTTATTTCAATATAAAAATGTCAACCCTTTGGCCCAAGTCCCATACAAAGCTGTCGGTGTCCATTCAGGAAAATTTTCCACTTTGTTGGAAGAGGATAACTTATATGTCATAGCCACTTACCTAGATCCTCGCTATAAGAACAAATTTTTCACATCAGTAACTGAGGAAAAGATCAAAGATGATATATTGAAGATAAGCAGAAACACCAAAGACATCTTGGCTTCTCAAACAATATCTCCAACTTCTCCAAGTACCAAAAGAACGAAGAAAATGAAAATGAGAGATTCTATGGAAACAGATACGGAACGATCAGGGACCTCAGGTACAGGACGTCAGTCCTGTTTAATTAGTGATCTTGCCATGATGCTCGATTCATCAAGTGACGATGAGAGTCAGGAAACTCCAGAAATTGTTAGCCCTGACGCAATTCTCAAGAAAGAGTTACTTACTTTCCGCAATAAGAAGCGAATTAATTTAAATGAGAGTCCTCTTAAATGGTGGAGTGTTAATCAAAGCGAGTTCAAAGTGTTATCTAAAATAGCACGCAAATTCTTATCAGCTTCACCTGCCAGTATTCCAAGTGAACAGTTATTTAGTAGCGCAGGATTAATATACGAACCCTTGCGAAACAGTCCGAAAAGGCGGCCATTCTACTTTTCATTAAATATAATGCTCTAATATTGAAATTTAATTACTAAAATAATTAATTAGTTTTAGTAATTCACTCAATACTTTAGTGGGTTGGATCATTATTATTAGCAGATAGCGATTGAACATTCCGGCATAAAGATAAGTACCGACGTCATTAAAGCTAAATTACTTGATATGGAGTTGGGCGCAGTTGGCAGCACTGAAGGTGCATTTTTGTCAAAAGGTTGGCAGCAACGTAAAAACCAACGCCACGATAATTGGAACGTTAGCACAAACAACATGGCGGAGCTGTCAAACACGAAGGCGGCCAATCAGAAACGAAATATGAAATCATCAAAAATTATTCGGTGTTATCGATGTAAACAACTAGGACATTTTATGAATAAATGCCCCCAGAATAGTCGTTATACAACAGAAAATGCATTTTGTGCTATTTTCTTGAATTCAGAAAATCTGTTTAACAATTCGGATTGCACATCGACTCGGGAGCTTGTTCTCATATGATTGTTGATAGAAATGGCCTGGAGAATGTTTCACTCAGCCACCCAGTGAAGAACATAATAGTCGCAAACAGGGATACAATACCCGTGGTGTGCGCAGGAAGTACTAGAATAACGACAATGGTTGACGACTCAGAATTTGATATTGCCGTGAAAGATGTGTTGTGCATACCTAAACTTCAAGCAGTAAGTCAGCTTATTCGGAATGGAAACAGTGTCCGTTTCGATGAAGAAGTTTGCTATATATATGTGGTATAAGTTATAGGTAGAATATTTAAATAGGTTTATTAAGTTGTTTGTTTTCCGTACGCTAGCAATATTTTTATATTTTTGAAGTATGGCAACTCGCGGGTGGAGAGGTCAAGGATCGAAGATGTGGTAAAAACGAGACTGTAATTGGTGTTGTGTAAAAATAAAGAAATATCCTATACTTCCGAGACATTTTACTTATCACACCCCACAACTTTTTGGGGGCTCGTCCGGGATGTGATTACATTGTTTTGGAAGAGAATTTCGACGAAGATTGCCTACAAAAATATCGCTAAGAGTCCGAAGTAAACAACGAATGCTGCGGGACGTTGCGCGTTAGCGTGAACCGAATGCTTCGGGACAATAAAAGTGACGTCATGAAATTATTGTATTGAAACACAACATCGATGAATTTTTTGAACATTTAATTTTTGATTTCAAGATATGGAGAAGCTGTAAGCAATATTATTTTAATAAGACTTTTTAAAGACGAAATATTGAGTACAAGCTTAATAAAGACGAAAGATGGCTCCTAAAAAAGATAAAGAAGATATTAAGGAAGAAGAAGAGAAGTCCAGATCTGGGCCGAAGATATCATTTAGTGATTTAGAGAAATCCATGATTACTTTTACTGGCGATGACACATATCCGATTTCTACCTGGATTCAAGAGTTTGAGGATACCGCTATTATTATGGAGTGGTCAAAGATTGAAAAACTTATTTATGGTAAAAGATTGCTCGGCGGAACAGCTAAGTTATTCCTTCGATCGTTGGGCAGTGTGACCGATTGGGAAACCCTAAAGAAAAGCCTTAAAGAAGAATTTGGGCCTAAATTGAATAGCGCCATAGTTCACAAGCAATTAGCTTCATGTAAGATAAAAAAATGACGAAACATTTCATTCATATTCGCTAATGCATGATTGAACAAGTTACAACTTGTACGCACCATCACTATTGTGCTCGACGCGTAGGGTATTGTTTTGATTCTGATTGCTTAGTTTGAATTTGATTACATGCGATGAGGATAGCGTTGCGGCCTAGCGTGTGTTCATTGTTTACTGTTTATTCATTGTGTATTACGTATACGTACCTAGTAATGTCGTCACAAGCTCAGAAGCGAAAGCACAAAACACTGACAATTAAAGAAAAATGTGACATTTTAGACCGCTTAAATCGTAATGAATCTTTCAGTAGTTTAGCAAGTGAATACGGTGTAGGCCGATTTACAATTTATGACATTAAAAAAAATCACCAGAAGATTAAACAGTTCGTGTCAACTACTGACTGTGCGCCAGGCAAGAGACAGACACTCAAGAAAGCTGAACATCCAGAAGTGGAAGAAGCTTTATACATGTGGTTTCTTCAGGAAAGAAATAGGCATGCGCCTATTTCGGTACCCATGTTGGCCATGAAAGCTAAATATTTTTATAAGGAAATAATAAAAAAAGATGATGTTGTGGCTCGCAAGGGATGGCTAGAACGTTTTAAAAGTCGTCACGGCATACGTTTAATGACTAATACAGGAGAGAAACTTTCTAATGATGCCACCTACATAGAGCCATTTAAATTAGGATTTTTGCAAAAGGGGAAAGATTTAAATCTTAACCCGTCACAGGTGTACAATGCAGACGAATCAGGGCTTTTTTGGCGTGTGATACCTAACAAAACTTTTGTTTCCTATAGTGAAAAATCCGTACCTGGACGAAAAGTAAGTAAAGAACGTGTAACCATACTACCATGTGCTAACGCTGCGGGCACACACACGCTAAATATGGTGGTCGTTGGAAAATCTAATAAACCACGTGCATTCAAAAATATTGATTTACATTGATATTTTTGATTTACTATTATGGACAAAAAAGTGCGTGGATGACAAAAGATCTTTTCAAAAAGTGGTTTGATGAATGCTTCGTACCAGAAGTTAGAAAATGGTTGAAAGATCATAATTTTCCTCAAAAAGCGTTATTGCTTCTTCGATCATCTGGTTGAGTTACTACCGAAGGCATTCCCGAATTCTGAGATCGCACAGAAAATAAAAATGAAACGTACAAAGCTCCGCGCCGTAATAAATAATGTTTTAGGTACGACTGAACAACATAATCTATGCAGATTTAAAACGTCAAAAATTCTCTGTAATGATTGACGAAAGTACTGATATAGCAGCAATTAAGACGATGTGCGTTGTTGTCAGATACTTTTGCCCAGGTAAAGGTCTAATTGTCAGTAGATTTTGGGACCTAATCCAAATTTATGGAAATGAGAACACTGATCATGGTTCGTCAGTAGAACGTCTTTTTGATGCTGTTCTCAAATCATTTCAAGATCATTCAATTAGCCTTGAGAATATTATAGGATTTAAATCAGATGGGTGCAACACTATGATGGGTTGCAATAACTCAGTATCCAGTTGATTTAGGGCGGCTTGTCAACCATCATAGTTTTGGAATGTGTTTGTCACTCGCTACATCTTTGCGCCAGTGATGCATGTAAACAATTACCGATTGAGTGTGAAATACTAGCACGTGAAATATATAATTATTTTTCAGCAAGCAGCAAACGTCAATCAGAATTTAAAGAATTTCAGTCATTTGCTAATACAGACATACACAAGATATTAAAACCTTCTCAAACTCGATGGTTGTCTTTAGCTGCAGTCACTGATCGTATTCTTGAACAATGGGACGTTTTGCTACTTTACTTCAATGGTAAATGGCTCGAAGATCAAGAATGTAAGAACATTCATATTCAACATTCACATATCCAGTAATGGCTGCGGTTTCACTATTGGACCCCGATAATTGCGTCGATACTAGCAAACGCCCAGAATCTCTCCAACGTATATTTGAGCTATTGCCACGACTGGTACCAAAATGTTTAAATGAACAGCAACAAATCGATGACCAATGGAGAAAATTACCCAGCCTGATAAATAAAGCTGATAGTAGTCAAGCACCTGATGTGTTTTGGAACCAGGTATTATTTATATTAATCATAATTTAGAATATTTAAACTTTTAAATTAAACTTATAAAGTATTAATGAAACGTCGCCAAAGTAGAGTAACATAATCGTGTTAATACTCGTTTATATGGTTCAATTAAAATTTATCTTTTTGTGAGAGTGTGACTATATGCTTATTTATATATTTACTCAGATATAAATTCTAGCGTATGGTTTATATATTTTATTTTTTAGATACTGCTAAAAGAAGATTATTTAAAGTTAGCAAATTTTATGCTCGAAATTCTATCTCTGCCCAATTCTAACGCGGAATGTGAAAGAAAATTGAGCGAAATTAATGACATTAAAACAAAAAAGAGAAATAGATTAATCACAAATACCATCAAGGGTGTCATATTAGCGCGCCAGTCCATTTTAAGAAATTCTGCTAATTGTATAAACTATAACCCAAATGAAAAAATGATGAAGACTTTTACGGACAAAATATATAAAAATGAACCCTTAAGTGACAGTGATACAGATATTGATTGACCAATTATATATAATTTATAATAGTTATTATTAAATACATTGATAATTCCAATAAAAGTAAGTTTTTTTTTCACTGTAAAAACACTGTAATGAGTTTTATGATTTACTGTATTTTCCTACCGATCTACTGTAATTTTACATGCGGAACACTGTATTTTTTTCAATCCAACCTGGCAACACTGAGTGGAATGGATAAAGAGGAAACTATTTTTCAAGAAATGTCTGACGAAGAGATTATAAAAGAGATTTCTAGTTATACAACAATAAATCAGGAAGATGACGACGTAGTAATTGCAACTACTCCGCAAGTGAAAGCACAAGATGCAATTGACGCCTTTGAGCTGGGTTTGGGATGGCAATGGGCTGAAGAAAATGGTGCATCCTACAACGAACTTCTACTTTTGAGAAGACTGAGGGACAAAGCTTTAATCTCGCGTTTCAACAATGTTAAACAAAAAAAATTGATGAATATTTTCATGCTTCTTAATTTGATTGATTCATAGTTTTTGATTATTTTGTTTTCATTTGTTTTTACACAATTATTGCCTAATGTAAAGTTATTGCATATTTTTTGTAAGTTCTATATATTAATGATGTTAATTTTATAATAAAACGTAAGCTCTCTATTGTGTTGTTTAATTTACTAAGTTTGACATACATAATAAAGTATGATTTGTACTTCAGAGTATATATACATATATAATATAAATATAATTGTCGGATTACAAGGTACTCTTTTGTAAAAAATCGATCGCGTATTACACGAGGTGAATTCGTGAGAGAACTAGATAAATTGTGTAAGGAAATAAACGTTGAAGAAGTATGTATAGTTAAAAGACACGACAATGAAGTTTTTATTAATAATTTATTAGACGAGATAAATAAAATAAAACGTAGGTCCGGACCACGTATATGTATAATTAAAGAGGTAGCGACAGTAAATGAGAAAGATGATAGACGGGTAATCATAAACGATTTCCATCTCCTACCCAGTAGTGGCCATGCTGGTATGAGAAGGATGTCGAATAATATTTAAGAAATATTATTATTGGCCCGGTATTGATAAAGATATAAAGGACTTTGTGAAACGTTGTGATGTATGCCAACGACAAAAACATTCTACACCTATCAAAGAACCAATGACTATTACAACTACAGCCAATTCGGCATTTGAGAAGATATGTTTAGATCTGGTTGGTCCTTTAGAAACTGATAATGATAATTATTCATATATACTCACTTTACAATGTGAACTAAGTAAATATGTTGGAGCATATCCTTTAGTTTCCAAAAAGACAGACGAAGTTGAAAGATCTTTAGTTAACAATTTTATTCTTGGATATGGAGTTCCCAAAGAGATAGCGACTGACAGAGGTAAGGAATTTCTGTCATCTACATTTCAAGAAATGTGTAAATTATTACAAATTAAACAGCTGCATTCTACAGCTTATCACCACCAGAGTACAGGTGCGTTAGAAGTGTCTAACAAAAAATTTAAATTCTTTTCTTAGAATACATACTGATAAACACCCAGAAACATGGAGCAAGTAGCTTCCCTTTTGGTGTTTTGCATATAATACATCGGTACATTCTGAAACCAAGTTTATGCCTTATGAATTAGTATTCGGAAAGAAGTGTATTCTACCCAGTAACCGAAATAAAAACATGGTAGAACCGATTTATAATTATGAAAGTTATCCATGAGAATTTAAGTATCGGTTACAGCTTTCTCAAAAAGAAGCAAGAGACAATTTAATGAACAGTAAGATTAAAAAAAACAAAAACCGACTTCAAAACTATACCTATATGTACAAATTTAAACTGAAAAGTAGAAAATAATATTAAATAATAATAATGATATTAATTTTTTATTTTAATTACTTTAAACATTCAACGAAAAGGTTTCCTAAGTTATTTTTGAAGTCAGTGCCGCCCAAAAACAGTTTAATTGTTGCAAAGGCAGCAACAAATGGAATGTACGGCGGCGCGACGCGGCTGCGCGCGTGTTGCAGCCGGACAGGACGGGACGCGGGGGGATGTGCCTAAGTGAGCAACCCGAACGCGGGCAGACGCGTGAGGGCAGACGTCGTTGACGGTTGTGTCTCTATGCATAAAAATTTTGATGCGCTTCTTTGCAATTTATAAGTAAGCTTACGTGCGATTTTCTTTTCTCTAGTAAAAGTTAAGGTAATTAATATAATAAATAGTGTAATTAATTATTAGGTTATTTTTTTATTAACGATATTTTTGTTTTGGTTGGCACCGACTTCAAAAATAACTTAGGAAACCTTTTCGTTGAATGTTTAAAGTAATTAAAATAAAAAATTAATATCATTATTATTATTTAATATTATTTTCTACTTTTCAGTTTAAATTTGTACATATAGGTATAGTTTTGAAGTCGGTTTTTGTTTTTTTTCTAAAAATTAACTTTATTTTTAATTTTTAAGTGGAAAGTTAGTGTATTTTGTTTGTATATAATATGGGTAGGCCTACTAAACGCGCTTCTCAAATGAGAAAGCGTCGTTTGGAAGAAAGTAGGGACGAGAGGGAAGATCGTCTAAAGAAGAGTAGGGAAAGATTTGCAATAAAAATTGCAAATGAGAGTGATGAGCAGCGGGCGTATAGACTTTCTCAGATGAGGGCATACTCAAACTTATCAAGGCTTAATGAAAGTCCAAAAAGTCATGCTCAACGACTCAGTTTGATTCACGAGCGTTTATCAAACGAAAGCAAAGAGCAACGTTCTCATCGTCTTCGGTTGATTCACGAGCGTTTATCAAACGAAAGCGAAGAGCAACGTTCTCATCGTCTTGAGTTGATTCACGAGCGTTTATCAAACGAAAGCGAAGAGCAACGTTCTCATCGTCTTGGGCTGATTCACGAGCGTTTATCAAATGAAAGCGAAGAGCAACGTTCTCATCGTCTTGGGCTGATTCACGAGCGTTTATCAAACGAAAGCGAAGAGCAACGTTCTCATCGTCTTGGGCTGATTCACGAGCGTTTATCAAACGAAAGCGAAGGGCAACGTTCTCATCGTCTTGGGCTGATTCACGAGCGTTTATCAAACGAAAGCGAAGAGCAACGTTCTCATCGCCTTGGTTTGATTCACGAGCGTTTGTCAAATGAATCTATCGAATCCAGATCGACTCGATTAGATGCTATGCGACAAGCTAGTCGCAACCGCAGGAATGATTTCGAACAGTCTATTAACATTTTTGCAGACGTTCAGTGTGCCGTTTGTAATAAAGCGTTATATCCACCACAACGTTTTAATTTACGTACTGCAATTTACAGTGCATTATTACCCAAAGAATTGGTTTCTCTGGGCAATATCATAACATGCTCTCGCTGTCAAAATAATATTAGGAAACGAAAAATTCCACCAGCAGCTTTCTGGAACAAAATGACAGTCGCGACTGTTCCTCAAGAGCTAGCTAATTTGACGAAACTTGGAAGAACGGTTTTTATGCCGTGTTGTACCGTTTCTTAAAATAACGAAATTACAAAATCGTTTCTGTCAAGATTGGTGTAAGGGACAAGTAACTTTGTTTGCAAAAGACGTTGTTGAAGTCGCTGAACAACTGCCACTTGCGCCAAACCAAGTAGGATTAGTTCTTGTTGTGAAAAGTCTCGAGAACTTGCAACGCTCCCAAGAGTTTGTTGTGGATATGAACAGATTGTATCAAGCTCTAACCTGGTTAATGTCAAACAATATACTCTACAGAGATGTAAGACCCCATTTTGAGAATGTTATCGACATTTCTGAACTTGTTCAAATTTCTGAAGAGCCTGCAGATGGTGGTGAGCTTATGGAGTTAGAATCTACTCCTCAAAACAACTACGTCGATATAAATGAAAACGTTTCTATACTACTGCGTCAGGGCCAAGGCGAGCAGACACCTCAAGGACTCATAGATAACATGCATCTTACTATGAGGAATATCAGAGGATCGGCGTCTTATTGGCAGAAATGTTGCTCTGAACTTACTGCAATGGTCCGAACTTTGGGGCCTCCTACGTGGTTCATGACGTTCTCTTGCAACGACCTTAATTGGCCACACATGACCAAAGCCTTACTCATCGCAGATGGTCGTGATGTAAATCAAGCAGAGAACCTGTCTTTCCCCGAGCGTTTGCAATTGGTACAGAAATATCCCGTGGTTGTCTCTCGACAATTTTCGGTTCGCGTGAACGCTCTGATGCGATTCCTCAAACGCGATCCAGACTGCTTAGGTGGTCCAGTTGTGGACTTTTGGTATAGAATAGAGTTTCAAAATCGCGGAAGTCCACACCTTCACATGTTGGTGTGGTGTGACAATATCCCAGATTTCTCGACTCAGGAGGGTATCGAAGTCATCGAAAGGGTGGTTTCATGCTCTTTAATGCCCAATGATTCTGTATTGCAGAAATTAATAAAAGACGTGCAAATACACAAACACACGGCCACGTGTTACAAAAACCGCAACGATAGTCATTGTCGTTTTGGTTTCCCGAGGCCCGCATATGAGACTACTATTTGCTTAGGTCCTGATGAAGTATTATCAAACAATGGACTATTTTGTTGTTTGAAACGAACTGTAGACGAAAGTATGGTAAACAATTACAATCCTACTCTATTAAGTCTATGGAAAGGGAACATTGATGTGCAGCCGTGCGGTAACGTAACAGCAGTTGCATACTATGTTGCTAAATACGCAAGTAAATGTGAGCCCCATGATACAGGTGAAGTTGTACGAGAAGCCGTTGTGAAGGCCAAGAGGCAAGGTGGTCCTGTGTGGAATCAGTTATTTGCAGTCTCAATGGCCATTCTATCTCAACGCCTTGTAAGTGCTCCGGAATGCGCATATAGATTGTGTCATTTACCGCTAAAAATGTCTTCCCGAAAAACAGTCTTCATAAACAGTTGTAAGCCAAATGAACGTTTCAGACTTCTACGATTCGACGGTGATGATACATCCATTTACAACAACATTTTTGATCGATATGTATTACGCCCAGATGAACTAGAAGACTTAAGTCTCGCCGAATTCGCTGTGCGCTTTGAAACGGTGTCTAACTTAATATGGAACGAAGACGATGGTGATGAAGAATTAAGGAGTGAAGATGTTACGCCGGCAAGATTTATACGGCTAAGAGATACCACGCGGATGCGTATAAGAAACAAGTCTGCAGTATTGCGCACACGATACTTTACATTGAACAGCGACAAGGAAGCCTATTACTATAGCTTGTTAGTATGTCATGTACCATTTCGTGATGAAAGTGAACTTCTACTCGAAGAGGAAACCGCTGAGGAGTGTTTTATTAGGCGGCAAAGAGAATTCCGACCATTACATGGCAACGTAAGCGCAGAAGAGTTTGCGCAGAACAAATGATACAACAGGCCCTTGCCCAAGCAGTCGCGCTCAACGCTGCCCGTAACACTCACGATGTTGATGCTCCTTTGATTTGTGGCGGTGAACAAATCGTGAATAACGATGACAATTATTGTGAAGATGTA